CAAATAAATTTAATTTTCTATTTCTATTAATACTATTTTTATTCATTTCATTTCGAGATAAATCAATCAAATTCTCAATATTTTTTTATTTTCTTCATCATTTTTCTTTGTTTTTATAGTTGTTTAAAATAAATTCATAGCAAAATGAAGATTATCTAGTTAGATAGTATTATTAAAATCTTACTTTTTGACGAAATAATTGAAATATCCGATGGATTGTTTAATTGTTCTTTAATTTCTATTAGTTGATTTCTTAAATAATTTAAACCGGTTTCATTAAATTCGTTTGCTATTTGCATTTGTTTTATTTGTTCATTCAAATCTTTTAATTTCATTTCAATATCATTAATACACGTTTGTGATGATTTAGTAATAATTTCTCTGTACTCTTGTGCTTTTTGTTGAATTTTCTCAATTGATTCCATTTCCCATTGATTAATTTGTTCTATTGATGAGAAATTTTGTGAATCTTGTTTTTGTTTATTAATTGTTTGTTTAAATTCATTATATTGATTGGTGATATGATGTAATTCATTAGTTAATATTTGGCGATGTTCGGTTAAATCCAGTAAACAAAACTCATTTGAACATCCTTTACAAGGATATGTTATTTTGTTTTCATTACATATGAAACATAGTGTTTTGTCATTTGCCATTGCCATGTCGTTGAATAGAAGTTGACAGAAGAAATGAATATATTCTTATGTGCTTTTATAAATGTTGTACTCAAAATTGAAATTTGACTAGTCAGAACTGAACGTTCAATTTCGACTGAGAATATATCAGACAGAATGGAATTTTCAATTTCGACTAGTCAAGTTTTAATTTTGACTGTAACATAAATACAAACTAAATGACTCAATGATAATAAAAACATTGATCGGTAGCAGAAGAAATTGAAAAAGAATTGTTTTATGTCAACAATTACTAATTGTGATAAAATCCCACTGATAGAACTAATATAAGATCTAAGATGGTAGGATAAAAGTAGAGAATCGATTTTAATTTATTTAAAATAAAAAATCAAACAATTTCTGTGATATTTATTGAATGAAAGAAAGTTTTAATGTAGATTTGGATGTAAGTAAAGACTAAACATAGATCTTCATCTACAGTTTTATCTACCAGATGAATGGTATATCAATCTCTTATCTACTGAACTGCATTGTCATGTTCGCTTTCATCATCATCATAATCGTCACTTTCGTTCTCAATATAGTTGTTATTGTGTGTTACTCTTTTTTATTCATTTTTAGTTTGATTTCAAAAAACAAACTTACCAAAAATGAAGGTATTTCAAAGAATTGAATTTCTAAACTTGTGATGTTTTGTAAATATTTCAATATAGGTACATATATAGAATGAGCACAGTATCTATCCAATACATACATGTATGAAGAAAACAAAGAAAAAAAATTTAATTGGAAAAGGGGGAGCACTAATGAACAAAATCTTCTGTATGTTCATTAGTGCTCGCTCTTTTCCAATTAATTTTTTTTCTTTCTTTTCTTTATATATATTATATAGATACTGTGCTCATTCTGCACATGTATCTAAACTTTAAATCATACAGATGTTGATATAATGAGAAAGATTCTATGAGAATCACATTTTTTAAGATTATTAATATTCCAAAAAAGATGAATATTTATAAATCGATATGGATAACAATAGAAGAAAAAAATGGAAATATTAAAATCAAATATGGTGATCTTCAGAGAATAAGTTATATGACATGTTCCGATTAAATCATTCAATATATAAAATCAATAAGAATTGATCATTAATCAGTTTTAGATGTTAATAATTCAATAACATTCAGTAGATAAATTATAAAATGATAAGAAACTATCTTTTTATGTATTAAATCATCGGAAATAAATTTACAAGAAATATTTGAAAATTTTATCAAGTAGAGTTGTAGTTCAATTTTCATTAAGAATTATTTTGGATTTATTGGTAAATTATCAGTAGTTTTGTCAAAGATGTTGAAAAAATAATTGTATTTCATTGAATATGAATGCAGTTTTAACACAACGAGTAAAATGATCTAAACAATAATAGTTGTACACAATCACTGCATAATTATATCTATAACTCAGCCAACGATGTTTATAATTCATTTTTCTCGAATATAGCTACATTGAGTATTGTAAAGCATACAATTATAATCTTTTTTACTTTTTATAAGAGAAAGCAATATTTGTAATAAGAAAACTGAAACGATGAGAGCTTGTGAGAATGAACGAAAGTAAATGCAAATGAAGAATTATACGATCAAGTTTTATTATCATTCATAATCACGTCTAGACGCTAACATATATCGTGAAAAACAGTTAATCATCTCGCATTTAAACGAGTATTTTCTAATTTTCTATGAACATAATCATCGTAACATAAAATGATAACTTTTCATGCGTTGAGAGAAGTATATGAAAAAAATAGACGGTTATATGACAAATAATTTTTAACTGACAGATCTTTTTCTTGTTAACAATATCATGTACAGTATTATTGTATATAAAGTAGTTTATTTGTAGACTCAAAAAACGTGTCCATTATTCACGTGGTAAATAACAATTATGCGTTGTAAAAACATAAAAAATATCCGATTGGTATAAGATCATGCTAATACCTGGTAAGCAAGAAAGAACAAAAGCAACTATACACACATGTATATATAAGATTTTGACATGTCGTTTAAAAGAATCAATAAAAGAACACAAAACTTTTTGAATAATTACAGAAAAATTTATTGAAATAAAAATATATAAAATCAGCAATCACATGGATCACAATCACAACCACCACAATCACCACAATTATCGCAATCACAACCATGGCATAAATTGCAATCTGATTCACAGATCGCGCATAAACAAAAACAACAGCAAAAATAAGCTAAACAATCACAAAGATTTGATGCATGCAAGGCTGCTGATACACTTCGCGGACGACCATGTGGTTTTGGTGAAGAGTCTATTCCATTATTAACAAATTCAGGTTGTTGAGTTACTCGATATTGATTAGCTCGTGATGGATCGTTTATAGTGTTTGACATTGTATATGTATTCTTTGTGTCAAATCAAGATTTATATTTGAGATGAATGAAAAAAGAACGTAGAGAACATGTTCTTCTATGCTATACTATTGATTCTACATGTAAAAAATGTTTATCGAGTATGTTTTTGAGTAGAACATAAAAAAAGTAAATCTTACATCAATATGATGACAGGAAAAAGAAGAGAACGGATTCCTTTTGTTCCTAGCCAATCAGCTGTTAGTAATTCAAAAACTAGAGTGACATATATATATTGATATATTATTATTCTACTGTGAATATCATTAGATAAGAAACAAAAGTCTTAAAAAGAGTATTTTTAAATGTTATTTCTTCTGAATAATTTGCATCCATTCTGGTAAAAATTCCATTTTAAAACGAAATTTTGCATCTTGTTCATAATAAATTGGAAATGCTGTATTCCAAAGATTATTATGAAGATTTATAAATAATCCATTATTATTTATTCCTTGACAATCAGGTATTGAATTATCAAAATTTAATAAATAATCTGATGAACCAATTGAAAGTAATGGTGCATCTAATGAATAAAGAGTAAATAATGGTATTTCACTTTTATCATCATAAAAACGTACACCATTATGTCCAATTGCATGTAATCGTCTTGATCCATAATCAACTATCTTAGATGGATTAACATCGTAACCAAGTACATCGATTTTCCATTGATCACATGTATTTGAAATAACAGGTAATATTGGATTAAATTCAATCCAAATCGATTCTGGTAAACGTGTTGCTGTTTTATTAAACCATTGTAATTCTATAGAAATTGTTGGTTTAGATTCAATAGTAAATGTATAATTTAACCATATTGTTTTACTTCCACCATAATCTTCAATAATATCATTCGGAAATGTTAATTCAATAAGAAATGTTTTATTTATATTATCTTTCCACATTGAAATAACATATGGATATGATGTTTGACTTGAAGAGTTTGTTAAACCAGGTTTAGCAAAATCACCACACGGTGGACCACAATTTGGATTATATTGTAAATTAAAACGATTAAAATCATCATTGGAATATGTTTTATATTGAATATTACCTAATGTATTATTTATATTTGAAAAATTTCTTCCTTGTTTATCTTGGAGAAAAACAATTGCACCTGATGTATAATTAAAACCAACAGAAAATAATGTTGTTTGAAATAGAAAATAATCTTTTGTTCGATTTATTGGTAAAGAAATTGGAATAAATTGACTTAAATCAGGAATTGATAATTCAAGTTCTTTTAAAGTATTATTAATACGATTGATTAATGAAGGATCAGATGAATCAAGTGGATAAAGATATGATCGAGCTTCTTTCCAGCCTTGTTCTAATAATTGAAAATCACTACCATTTCTAACATGTGAAAATTCGTCATTATGATAATTAAATGCATAGTTTTCTTTTTTTAAATAACATCCTGTACATAAACCCCAATTATGTTCAGGATTTTTTAATAAACGAAATGTATAATTAAATAAAGACGGAGAAGAAAAATATTCTTGTTCATTTAATATTCTTGATATTTGTCTATATGCTGATTGTTTATATGGATCAGCAGCTACTCCATATAACCATGTTGTTCCCCATTCATCTGTTATTATTGGTAATTGATCTTTATATGATTCTAATAACGATTGACTAAATGTTTCAAGATTACTTGCAATAATTTCTGCATTTGGATAATGTGTTTGAATTTGAGACCAGACTCGAATAACATCAGTTATATTATGAGGTGGTCCTGTATTATCTAATGTAAAATGATAGATCATTGCTTGATCAAAACCTGGTAAAACAACATCACCACCATAGATACATGCTTCAGCTGAACATGGTGTTGTTGCTGTTGGTTTATTATACATCATAACTAAAAGTTCCGTATTAGTTTCTTCATGTTTCCATATAAATGCAGGTGGCAGATCAGCTCCATGACAATTAAGATTAACACCAATATGAACTGATTTTATTCCATTATCAGCAAATATAGGTATAGTACTTATTGGATGACCCATATCATCTTTATGTGATGCACTTGTTTTTCTATTTTGATAAAAACGATCATCTAATATTGATGATATACTTAATGATATATTAAATAAATTTTTATCCATCATTGGAATAAACATTGAAAATGCATGTGCATGCCATGTTATATCACCTTGTTTAATTGCTTTCTCAACTAATTCAATTGTTGTACGATTTGGTCGTTCATTCGTACATTGTGCAATATTATCAAAAAATTCTAATAAAATCCATGGATGTGTTGTAAAAATAAAACGTTCATTACCACCACGATCACGAAGTTCTTGTGCAAGACGTGCAGCATTTGGTAAATGTTCATTAAAATATAATGAACAAACATTTGCTGCAAAATTTGTAAAACCAACATCTAAATGTGTCATTGAAACTACATGAACTTGTTTTATCCATGGATAAATTGTAGTTGTTGATGAATTTAATCTTAATAGTTGATGATAAACTAAGAATAAAAATAGACAAAATATAAAACGAAACATGATCGTTTGACTTGCAACAATTTGCTGTGCATTGTTAACAACTATTGAATTTAGATAAGAACGATAAAAAACGTCTTCATTGTATTAGATAAGAATTGATAATATTTTACATATCAAGCGATTCATATATATATATATTTTTAAATCTAACTAAAATATAAACAAGAATCCTATATTATAATGTTCAGTGTGTGTCTGTGACGAGTCTAATAAAGCATGAGTATAAGCGACTTTTTGATTGTTTATCATCGAGTCAAGGTAAAAACAAAGGTATGAAACTGTACTTGAAAGAAAATCAACCATGTAGTATGCACGTGTTCTTGCTATTATAGTACAATCGAGGCTTATGCTTAGAATTCAGATTCTGATCCATATCAGATCTATGAATTTGTGTAATATATTATAATGATTACAAATTCAGAACATATTCATAAGTCACCAAAGAATACTCATGAAGTAGTAATAGTCATTTAATTATAATAAAAAAATTAAATTCAAATATTTTCTATAAAATAGAAATCTTAACTGATATCTATTTTATTTTATTTATTTTTATCTGAAGTTGTTAGTATCAGAAAAAATCAATTCTTTCCTATACATTATATTAAACATAAACAAAAAATTTCGTTTTTTTTCCTACAGCTATTTATTACAATGAAGTCAACGATTGTCTATATGTTTGGATTGTTCGAAAGATATTCCAAATTAAAATAACCATAGTTAATAACAAAATATTTAATGGTAAATTATTTCCACCAATAGTAAAACGTAAGAAAACATATATGATTAGTAATACAAGTAAAGTACGTATATCAGTAAAATGACGAAAATTTATTTGTGGTGTACGTATGGAATGAAATCGTTGATCATTTGGGCCATAGAATAATTGACGAAAGAATGCCCCAAGAAAACCTCGAAGATTATATAATGAATTGATTTTATCAGCATACTAGAAAATAATAAAATAAAACACAGAATATTAATAAAATAAAGACATACTCGAAGATTAATATTTTCTGATAATTGCCGATTGAACCAAAGTAATGGACGAAGTTCAAATGGATTTGGTGGAGATAATATTGGATTTTCAAGTTCATAAGGAGAATAGGAAACATTTAATGATGATTCTGCGATTGATGTTGATAAAGACTGACACTTTATTGGAAATGTTGTATTTAATGAATGTGTTAAAGATGGTTCATCTTCATTTATTGTTGTATCAAATATATTTGGATCAATCTAGAAGAAGAAGGAAAATTTCTATAATTTATTTTCTAATTATTTAAATTTACTTGAAAAAGTTCCATAAATTTATTTTTCGTATTTGTTAATTGTTCAACAATATCTGTTGGTAAAAGTGGTTTTAATTGAATTGTTTTTGTTAATGATTCTGATGGTGTTATATATGGAATTTTATATAGAAGTCGTTTTAATAATTCACGAGCATTCGTTGATACAATTTGTGTTGCTTGTGATAATCTTTGTTTTTCTTGTTCAGTTATACGATTATTTTCTTCAATA